ATAATCATCTGAAAAAAAAATTTAATCATTTTATTGGCAAAAAAGAATTAGATTATATGGAGTACAAAATTTGTGATATGTCACATGTCTATTTATAAACTAATTATATGTCCAGGCACCAAATTCAACGCACAAAATATAATCAACATGTAGATTTTTTATCTTAAGTGCAAAACATGTTAATGTTTTATTTTTTTTCATTTCATTCAAGTTTAAATATAACATTAGAATGTTTAAGCTTAAAAAATGTAGAAAGTGAGCTTAGTTAGTTCTCATTGCATTAAATGAAATTTAAATAATTTTTTTCCAACTTTATGTATGTAATGTGTAAATAAGGAAAATTTATTTATTATGATCTCGAATATTATGTATTTTTATCAAATACATGTATGATAAATTAAAAATTGCTTTTGACGTCAATCCATGTTAAATTCCATGTTGTGAAATTATTTGAAATAGATTTGGAATAAGACCATGTCAAATGTTGCATATCATTAACTGTACCTCGATTGGAAGTATAAAGTAGGGATGAATTTTCTTCAAAAATCTTTTTCCAAGAATTGTTGGCATAAAATTACAAAAGAAATGTTTAATCATATGTATCAATCATATTCGTTCATTGTCTCTCATAATCTAAAATTGCATTTTACACGCAACAGCATTGGACATGTAGTTTTTTTTAAGAAAATTTCCTATTTTGAAAATTAATTCTGTAGGCAGCATAACTTTTTCCCAGGATTTATGGATTTATGAATATATTTTGTGTCAATTTGATTGGATTACTTATAAAAAATGTTATAATTGAAAAATTATATAAAACATAAGTTAATTATAAGAATATCATATTAATATTTTAGTCGGAATTCGGAAAATCATTTGTTTTCAAAATATAAATAATCACAAAGTTATTTTATATATATATATATATATATATATATATATACTGAATATATAATATCTAATGTTCTATTCATTAAACAAGTGATATTTGATTCCATTATTTTTCACTTCTGAGTTTGAAAAAAATCTTACTAATCTGATATTTTTGTTTAAGTGTATGTTGGATTAAATTTTAGGTTATAAAAATTTGGATTTCATTATCCGTTTCTACTTTAAAACGCTACTACTACAGTTCTACTATCTGAACAGATGTGTAGAAGATATATAGAAAACTAAATATATGAATACTTACTGAATATACAAAATTAATTAGTCTATACCCTTGCTATAGTTGATTTAGAGCCTCACTTTAGTTCTTCATTATTTGTGGATGTAATACCTTTTATGGTAGTGGTTGTTGTATTATTGAAAGTCTTCAGGCTGCTCTTTCGCTGCAGTTCCCTTCTTTCGCCGCCTGATTCAAAAGCTTGACATATGTATGGAATTATTACTACTGTTATTCAGTACAGGCTTCAATCTACACTCTAAACTTTTTGCATTCGGCATGTTTTTTTCATGGTTGCTACCGAAAGGTACTATCGGAATAAATGGGAAAGAATTGCAGCATTTTCAGCGGAGTTCAGAACGACGAGGGAGAAGTCATGTTCTACCACTTAAGCCCTGGCAGAGTCCAATCAGCTCCAAGAGCTCTGAAACAACTCCAGGAGAAAACTGGATCACCACGTTGTGCGCCCCTGCGACAGACTTTTGAAGGTTCGGACTGGACAGGACCTGCAGAAATGGGAGGTCAGTCACATTCAGACTCCCGGGCAAGAATCAAAATCTTCCAAATCTGACCATGCGAGCCAACTTGGGCACCCTGACCGGATGATCTGCGGTCAGACGAACTCAGGAATCGCCTGCATATACTCGTGGTATTATACTGTCAGCATTATTTTATTCAATCTATGCTCCCCAAGACGCGTTTGATCCGCATCCACAGCTAACGGCAACAGCGAGAATAAATTCCAAAGGGGAAGGGTCAACTTGCCATCCATGGCCATTATGAACGAGACTATCGGCTTGGGGAGAGAATCTCCGTTGTAGCTCCCCTTCGGCCTTGCAAACAGTTTCGTTTCCAACAGTAGGGACGTGTACCTTCTCTCATCTCACTTCGAGCTCATTGCAGCTATGAGATGATAACACCCAATCTAAAGTGAAGGGAAAACTGATAAGGCCTCCTCTACACTTACCTTAGTGAGCTGTAAATTGGATTTGTTATCATGCGGTAGACAAATCCATGGATTTTCTTCTTTTGGGAGCTCCCAGTTGCATTGAGCTCGGAGCGAATAATATTCGTTCTTTCACCACAATCACCCACCGAATGAATTCAATCCTGCACTTAAAGTGGTGATCTTTGTCGTCTGCGTATGTCGTCTGGCTGGGACCGGTGCCAAGCACACTACTTAGAGAATGCGAAGATTTTATATGCAGACTCTGAGCTTTTCTGCGGAGTTAAGAATGTCTCGACCCCATCAATCACGAACATGTTTCGGTTTTGCGATTGGCCTTTGGGATGTTCCCATCAGCACAAGGCCTACTCACGCGGATTCTCTGCACACGGAATTAGCATTTCGCCGTATGGCGTTACTCCTTTGTACAAGGGCGGCATGGCGAGATTCCCTCCTTCATCCAAGTCGAAGTCATGCTCTTCCATACCCTTTCATCATCTCACAGTATTTACTTCCTCCTACCTTTCAGCATCTATATACTCTGGTCTATGACGGTCGCCCGTCTAAATCGATCGTTGAAAATTACTCTCTGTCAGCTGAAAAGAATTCATTCCGTGGTCATTATTTAGTTCAAGTCCTTTCATGCCTGAAGTCAATTTTGAAGTCTGCAAAGGATTTTTGACATGGTCAGAGAAGACATTTTGGTTAGGCGAAGTATGGCGGGTTCACAGCAATTACCGCAGCTAACATGAAGGTCTCACTGTGGAACTGCGAGTTGAAAGTCCAGCAAAGATGTGCTAGCAAAGCTTTTGCTCCAGACTCAAGCCAGGCACTGCAGTTCCAGTGGTCTCGACCAGAGAAGGGAGGAACGTGCATCGAAACTGAAGGCCCCATGGAAAACATGATTACTTCCATAATTCATTGTGGGAGTTCCAAACTCACAAGTGCATGATCTGATTTCCAAGGTAGCCCTCTACAGTCGTCTGAAGTAAATGATTTGTAGCTTGCTCTTGAAAGGTCACGTTCCGAGGGTACATACATTCTTATCCGACCCATTCCGAGCAAACTTGCTCCATGGTCTTTGAACCATCTAGAAGATTCTGTAATCGAAACTGATTCTGATAAGGCTAAAATTGGGAGGATGAGTTTCTGTTGACCTTGCACCTTACCCTCCCATGATGATGCAGCTCATTCACTTGCAAGTGTATGCTTTAAGAATAAAAAATTTCAATATCTAATCTCAGCCTTCAAAATGTTGGATTGATAGGAGACATGATCGAGGTTTGAGATGCACGGGGATATGAGTATGTATGCATCATCACGATCAACTTTATTGCAAATTCAGCATCGGTGATGATTCTAGATCCTGCCCACAACGTCCAAGTCTATCGAGGATATGTGGCAGCACTCACGAGGAGTAGAGATAATAATTGGTTTGACGAGTTTTTCTTCAATTTTTAAGAGGCAAAACGGCAAAAGAAACGATACCTTCAAAAGCATGCAAGCATTGTTCATTTGCCACACTTACAAAAATGAATATAAGCACGTACTGACACCAAGAAGCAACGGACTGAGTTCCAACGTAGGTCATGAAAATGTTAATAAATGTACCTACTTGAATTTTATCGAAAATTGCGGGAGAAATTTTCGGCCGGGATTGGAAGATGTGTAACCACGTTGATTGGGATTGACGAAACAGACGCAGTCAGGATCGTGAACATGCACGCAGTGTGTGCTGGCGGGGTGGACTGTTGGAACGAGCCAGGGGATCCAGAAGTCGGGCTTCAATACAGGAGCGATGGAGGAATGGTTCCTATGCACCACGTTCTTATAATTCGATTGACCGGAAAGCTTCCTAGCGCGTTCCGACAGGTGCTATTCACAGACCGTTGGACCTTCTCTTCCTCGCAACGCGCCTGACCCTGAATAGCGGTCCGACACCCGTGACCCGCTTCGATCGCCAACTCAGTATTCTGACGGAGCCGCTAGGTCGCCCATGGAGCTGATGTGGCGTGCTCCTCTTATACTTTCAGACACGTGTGATCATAAAGTCGGCAAGCGAACTCCCTAAAGGGCAATAGTCCCCGCAATTCTCTACCCCCAGCGTCCAGGTGGAAAGGAGGGAATCATAACATTTACAGGGATTCCTCGAAGCATGGACCATAGGTAAGGTACTCCCGATTTTATGAAGTTCGTACCTATATCACATGCAAATCAATACACATAAATACTTGAAAACTATTAAAACTTGTTTGTGGAAAAGATGTGAATAATAAAAATATACGAAAGGACAAACTTTATTATAATACGCATGACCTCTAAATGCTTGATAACTATTAGAACTGGTTTGTGGAAAAGATGTGAATCAATAAAGATTTTTTGAAAGGACAAATTTTATCATAACACGCATGATATCTATTATCTGTATTAAACATCTAAACATCCGAATGATGCTATGAACACTTTTCTTTTGATTCCGTATATCGAATATATTACAATTTAATTCCGACCGTGTTCGAGTGAGAGGTGAAGTTTCTCGTTATGATCTCATGATTAGAACTGAATGGGCCATGCATCACTCTGCCTCTGTTTTGGCACATCAACATGTTCCAGAAGTTTACTTTTTGACTCAACAATCTGATGGAATAAGAGAAAAATCGAATGTCAAGGATGACAATAATTGAGCGTGCCAAAATGCGGATTCCGAGTCGGAGACCACGCGTCTTCGCGATGTGCTAATGTACCGCAAGCTTCCTAAAGAAAAATCGATTAATTAACAATTGGGATGTAACAGATAACAGATAAAGCGATGGGCAGACTATTGGCCTGTCCGAGGAATGGGAGGCCAGAACAGTACAGCAGAACGGGGGAATTTGCGCCGTGGAGCCCCGTGGGGCAGCGCGGTGCCCGTTGCAAGCGGGAGGGAGAGAACGGGGACGGGACGGGGTCGTCTGCCGAAGGAGGAGCCAACTGAAGTTACAGAACACTCGTCCAAGGCTGGAGTCAAGGGAAGGAAGCAAGCTGAGGAAGGATATGGGGAGATGAGGCCGAGAGCGGAGGGAGTGCAGAAATCGTGTGCTGGCGCGACGTGCAGAGACTCACAGCATTGAATTTCAGGGGGAGCCAGGGGTAGGGACGAGTTCATGCGCGAGGTATTTGTAAGAGCTCGCTGCTACAGATAGTTTCGATTCCATCTCCTGTGAACATCACGAAGAGCAGGAGTGAGAGCTTTTGTTTTTTCCGAGGGTCTGTTTTGAGTAGTGTGATTGGGAGGAAGAGAGAAAGAGAGGGAGAGAGAGATATAGAGAGCGACCGAGCGAGCGAACGATACAGAGGAACAGAAGCCTGGATTGATCGATTGCTCGGTGTACTGAAAACAGATGATCCATCGATCAATCCGGATTTGCAAGTTGGGGTTCGAGTGCTCCGTCCAGATCGTCTGCTGTAAGATTTCAGGAGAGGAGACAAAAGGAGGAGGTGGGCAGGCGAGCAGGCTGCCACACGCAATCTTTGCTCTGTAACTCGATTCTCGCTCGATCGACCTGTTGGCTGGTTTTCTCGGAGCCTCGTTGTTGTTTCAGACAAGCTTGCGTTGGCCTTCCATTTGGCACTTTGTCGACAGTTTTCCTGTAGGAATTGAATTGGTAAATTGAGGAGGGTAGTGTGGGAAGGAAGCGTTTTGGACGCTCGTGATAGTTCCCCATTGAATTCTGGACACAGCAGCAGGATTCTCCACGTGATAACGAAGGGAGAGAGGAAGGGAGGGAGGGACCTGTGCTAGCCACTTTCTATCTACCATCGGTACGAGACGCTGCTTGTGAACTGTCGGGGAATTTATGCTAGAAGTGACTCGGAGTCGAACTGCTGTCATTCAAGCGCTGTGTTCCCCACGGTCACGCGCATCTTGAAGCAAACATCGCAGTCGGTTGCGAACGATCGTCAGGGCAGGAAGTTGAGGGCAGTCTGGAGGCCAGCAGCATGCCGTACCCGACCAAATCGGAGGATGATATCACCGAGCCGGAGCTCGAGGCCCTGAAAAAATTCAAAGGCGTCATTCTGGCCCGGGGTTATCATTGCCCGCAAAGGAGCTCCGATGACTTTCTCGTACGATTCTTGCGCGCCCGACAGCTGGACGTGAAAAAGGCCGCCACCATGTATGGAGATTACGTTCAATGGCGGCGCGAAAATAACGTCGACTCTGTTCTCCAGGTTAGAACTCTGGCCGTGCTCCGACTGTTGACCATCGCTCTTCAGCGTGTCTCCCCCTCGTGATCGTGTTTCACAATACAGTGCGGACCCGTATCCATGATCGAAATCTTTCGAATGTTTCTCTCTTTCGAGTTCCTTTTCCTTTTTCAAGACACTTTGAATCTGTAACCTCCCTCGCTCCATCTATCGAGTATAAGGCATGTCACTCCAATCCCCACTCAATCTCTTCAATCCTCAAATGAGTATCTGAATTTGTATATAAGGTCCGCTGAGCTTCTGCTGGCGGACCTTGTTTACATGTCCAGCATGAAACGAATAATTTATGAACCTAGGAAAGAGAATCTCTGCAGAGTGCTGCAGCGAGATTTGGACTTCGTATTCAGTGCTTCGGGGGGTCCGTGCTCCCGAGGAAACTTCGAGTGATGAATCTGTCGTGAGGATGATTCGTTTGTGTATGCTTTAGAGTGGAGGAGGGTGATACAGAAGACATTCCGAACCCTCCTTTCGACATTCGCTTTTAGTATTGACTGCAGTCTGTAAGTCAGAAAGATTTGAGTGTCGCGTGCGAGTCCACGCCAAACCTGTCGATGGAGAAGCGAGAGAGTGTCTCCTTACGTGTATTGTCTCCGCAGACGTTTAAATATCCGGAGCTGGATCGAGTTCTGGAAGCCTGGCCTCAAAATTGGCACAAGACGGATAAGATGGGACGACCTGTCAACATTCAGCTTGTTTCCAGGTAATTTGCAATCGTGCTCTACGACCCCAGCAGATCGATCTTCGCCGTGGTAGGTGAGCGGGGAACAGAGAGCAGGAGACTTATCATTGTTATTCATTATTTTATCATTCTTTGTCAAGGCCTGCATAAGCACGTGCTGGCCAAGCAACACCCATCAAAGTCTTCACTCTCCGGTCGCCGGCAGTCTGTGTTGGGTTGAATTCCTTCTCTTGGACCGCACAGGCGAAATGTTTGTCAGTACTGACCTACCACGCCCGATCCGTATTCCAGAATGAAAATTAAAGACGTGTTTCGGGAGACGACCGAAGAAAGACTATTGACCAGAGCTCTTTGGGTATGGGAAGATCTGCACGAGAACAAGCTCCCGGCGTGCTCCAGAGCAGCCGGTCGTCACATCGGCCGTGCCACCGTCGTGCTTGACCTTAAAGATGTGGTGAGTAAGGAAGCGGGACTATGCATCTGAACTCGAGCAGTGCCTACTTTGCAGCCCACGTGCAAATTGACATGAGAGAATTTGGTCGAAATTCCGTGCACTGAAGTGTTGCCCGGTCAAAGTTGGTCGATTGGGTTTGCTGATGCCGTGGGCTGATTTGGTCGCGCAGAGTGTTATGACCTTCACGAATGTACATGTGAGAAAGGTGTTACCGAAGATGGCCCGATTGTTTTCTTCCTATTTTCCGGAGTACTTGGGGCGCCTCATAATCATTCACGCGCCGGTGGCGTTCAAGGTACTGTGGGAGATGCTGAGCCCCTTCATCGATGAGCAAACGCAGAAAAAAATCGGGATCTACAAAGGGGACGGGCTCGAAGATCTTCTAGCGACCATCGACGCCGAGAGCCTGCCTGAGGTGCTGGGCGGCAAATGCAAGTGCGAGGGAGGGTGCGAGAATGCATACACCGGGCCGTGGAACGATCTGAAGTACCGATGAGAGGCGAAGACGGCGGTGCCGCTGAACAGAATCACGCCCCTTTCATGAGCTGACCTCGAGGAGTCGAGCAGCTAAGGATGGCTCTGACGAGCTCGCCAGCCAACAATTGGCGACGTGACCATTGAATGAGGTCCACATTTGAGAGTGCCGCTGGTACAAACATCTTCCGAAATTGGTTTTTCAACAGGTAACTCACGGCCCAAGCTTACTGAGGACCTCGATGCTGCCTGCGTCCGACGCTTGTAAGCGCCGTATAGTCAGATTCCCTCTCCCTCCGTTTTCGAACGAGCTTACATCGGATGGAGGAGGCAGTGCCGAAGTCTTGACATCGAACAATATTAGGACGGATTCACGTTCTCGGCGATGATGATAATGATGATGACGACGACGACGACGACAATTTCGATACATTTTAAACAAAATGTAAGCAATTTTGTACGGGTTTTATTGTGTAACTCTTTATAGTACAGTTATTCCGTAAGGACTGATCAGATAGATGGAGTTGAACCTGAGTTTCCTCACTGGGCGCGACTCGTTCGGTAGGAAGGTGACCGGTAAGCATCTACCTGCAGTGTAGTTCTCGCCCTAGGGCACATTCGCCAGCTTGTTACCATCAATGGTAGCTTTTGTATTTCTATTGGCCCGAAGGGTTGACATGGATGCCAGGAGTTTTGAGCTTTCTCCGCTTCGTCACTTGCTGTAACATCTCCTCCTCCACCGGATGATGGATTTGGCACTTCCTCACACCTTGCAATTATTTGTGGTGGGCGTGAGCTTTAAGCAACTGACGTGAAATTACTCGTCTCAAACATCTGCAATACAAGAGGTGAAGAATCCCTCATGGAGTGTTCACCACAAACGAAGGTCTTCGCACAATCGCAAGTTGCCAGATGCTCTGTCGCCTTCTGCTGTCTATTTTAACATCAGCTCAATGTGACAGCAGTTTCCCCCACTCTCGGGTCCTTAAAGTTGGACGACACTGTCTTTGGCAAAGATGGTGAACTTCATGATTATCACCATCTAAAGTCCAGATTTTATCCCATCATTATTGATGGGAATTCTCAAAAAAGAAAAACATCGATGCATGTGGTAGATCGGGACATAATGTATGTGTAAGTAGAGGGGCTCTACGCTGATTATAAGGCATGACTTGGGGAGCTATCATCGTTCAGGTCATGACACCGTCCAGGACCGGCACTGCTGGTCGCTTTCTATCCTTAAACAGGGTGCAAATCCTTTCCATACCGCCCTAGAATAACATTGGCGACATGTCTCTTACCTTGTCTTCCTCATACGATGCCAATGCGCTGCCTCCGCGTCTAAACTCCTATAGTCGCCTGCCGGATCATCGTCCAGCTTTTATGCCGCCATCACTACTGCAGATAGGTGGCCTCAAGGGTTGATTAAACGTCTGCAGGCATGCAACGGCATCAACATTGTTGGTGCAACTTTCATTTGGGGGGCTTCATGTTGGAATGCTGGGCAGGTTGGTGGAGGTTTGGGCGACATGCCGCAGAGTAGACCTTTGCACGAACTATACTTGCAAAAGGAAAGAGAAATATTCCACGCCCATTGCTGTGACTTATGTGAACTAAGGATTGAAATTTTCGCATAACGTGGAGACCATAACTCGTGCAGCAATATCGGCACTTTCGGCTGGTTTCATCCTTGCACGACTTGATGGGGTATCTCACCTCATTCCCATTCTATTCATACTATTACAATTGGAGGGCCATAGATGACATATACTGAGAGACAAAAGAGATATGACAATCATGCAAAGCCCTTGAATGGCGGAATATTAATCCGACGGATCTCAGATTTGATTCAGCGAGATTGAAGTCGTCTTGGAGAAGGAAATGTGTGATCTTCCAGTAGTTCGTTTTCCATTGGCCTTGCCCTTCAGTTTCGGTAACTCTGTAGTCTAGAATATCCTACGCTCAGTGGTCGACACTGCACGAGCAAGAAGCCACCCGGAGAACTCCTATATAAGGAATCTCAGGGCAAACAGAGTAATCATCCACGCGCTGACAGTCTGCCAGCTATCAGTCGAGAATTTTTCACCCTCAACCCTTCCTTTCCAATCCAAAGCATTTCGAACAATACAGCCTGCAGCCTCGATGCCTGAGATATGCATGGCAACTGTATAATGTTGCAGGTCTTCCGATACTTATTGTTGATAGACAATGGGATTATAATCCTGCCTCGTACTATCGCCGATTTCCACGATCCTGGAAAGGAGAAAAGTACTCACCGATAGATAGAGCCTTCTGAGCTTCCATCCAGCTGTTGACACATCTAAAGATAGCACGCCCCAAGGTCGAAGGGTCGTCTCCATAACACGTTCTCTTTCCTTTTCGGCATGACGCAGTCATGCCCGCAGTTGTGTGCTACTAACAGTAAAAGAAAAAGTAGTAGAAGCACCGGAATGGGAACAGGCCTTCCCCTTTGCGAAGGAAACGAGAAATCAATGCCTTATGAAGGGGCTCTGATGTCTGAGCTCCTCCCTTGCTGAAAATTGGACTGAAGTCTATCGATATCGTCTAACCTGCAGGGTTTCGACAAATCTACCGAGTGATAAGTGAGAGCGTCGGACTCAAGAGCACTGTGGACGTTTTTAGTGTTGTCATACGGTGAACAGCTATTATGAACGATAAGATCGGCATGAGATGTCTCGAGGATTAGCTTCCTTGAGTTACGACAGTTGACGTGGTAATAGTCGACCAACATCCTTGCACGTCCAGTGTGGTTTTCGACAGGTACCACCCGCCCATCGAGAATGGGGTATAAATGCTCCAATGGAAGCATCGAAATGCAAGTGTCGAATATTATCTGAAATGACAGCAAACGCGATTATAACAGTCTTGATGTTTCTTCTCCGTCAAAGTCAACGTTGAATCTTTCGACATCCAGGTATGCTCAACGAGTTCTATGACTTCAGTTATCCCCCAAGTCCATGTATATTTGAAGGATTGTCAACTAGATATGCCAAGAGACTGACAAAAATGCGTGCAGATATCAGTTCGAGTGTTGAAGCATGGCATGGAGGCGTTTTTATCTTTCTTCTTTGACGTATTACATTCGTGCAATCTGTTTTGATAGGACTCGTTTCAATCGATGAATAAGTGATAGACTAGTAGCCACAACAAGCAGCTGATGACTTTGAGGAAAGGAGTGGAGGATTGTATCTTGATTTTCGACTATATCTCTTTCATGGAGCACTAAGAGCATGATCAGATTCTGAGACAAGACAAATTCTTTCATTCAGGACGCTTGGAGCCGAAGATAAAAGGTACAGAATGGTATTCTCGAGACTTGGCTTCGCATGCACAGTTTTGCTGTGTGCTGCGTTCATCCAGACCGCCAGGGGCACGAAATGCAGAGCAAGCGACTCGGCAGCGCTTCTGGAACTCAAAGAGGGCTTATCTTGCCAGGAGATCAATCCTAATTATATCTGTCCGTTCGACTCGTGGCTACCGGGGACAGATTGCTGCGTGGGCTGGCAGGGGATAAGCTGTGATGCTTCAGGCCAAGTGACAGGATGGAGATTGCAAGGTTACTGGAACAGCTACTTGACTTTCCAAATTGGACGACGTGATAGTTCTGACAAGTTTCTCACGCAGCTTTCCCGAGTGACGGCTTTGGAAAGCATCGACATTAGCTTTGTCAACTTCGGGGGCGCAGCTATTCCGAAAGAATGGGGGCAGCTCTCCAAACTGAAGAATTTCAACATCGAGGCGGTCAAAGGCTTTGGTCAGGGGGGAATTCCCAAGGAATTCGGTAACCTGAAAAACCTGCAGAGGTTTTACTGGAACACTTTAGTCCCGGACCTGTTGGGTCCAGGATTGAGTAGCAACACCGGGGTCCCCAAGGAGCTCTGCAAACTGCACAACCTTCGTGAATTTACCGTTTTCCTCCTTCCGGAGTGGTCGGGAACTTTACCGAGCTGCATCGATGGTTGGAAGAGCATTCAGACCATCAGCATCAAAAATGGTGACTCGGGAAATTTCGGAGGCGTTTTGAAAACCGGGGGTCTGACCGGATCACTTCCATCAAACCTTGGCAAGCTCAAGAATCTCACCGAGCTCTCGCTTGTCGGCAACAAATTCACAGGCAGCATCCCCACGTCGTTGGGAAATCTATCAAACTTGATAACTCTTCGACTCAGCTACAATCGACTGCATGGGAAGGTACCGTGGTCCGAGCTCTCGAAGCTGAAGTCTCTTGAATGGCTCGATCTGAGCACGAATGGATTCTACGGACCTCTTCCGCAGCCCTTCTTTCCGAACGCGTTTCAAGATCTTCAACAGCTGGAAATCGACAACAATAACTTCTGGGGCGAAATCCCTCGCCGCTTGATCGATTTGCCCAAGATAAATACGCTCAGACTCCAGCACAACCGATTCTGGGGCTTGATTCCTTCCGCCGGGCCGAACAACGTCGGATCACCGATGTATTATTGGGACGTGTCCTTCAACTACCTCTCGGGAACTCTTCCTAAACTTCCACCAAGCCTGAATTACTTCCTGGCGGCGAATAATTCTAATATCCAAGGCAGTATTCCTGCTAGCTACGGCTTTCTGTTCACCCTCAATCTCGCTAACAATCGCCTGACCGGCTCTGTTCCAGACTCCGTGAAACAAGTGCAAGTCCTGGACCTGACGGGCAACAACTTTTCCAACTACCCGTAGTGGTAGATTCAGGTGCCTTCATGTACAGCAAAGGTTTTGAGCACATGCTCAGTTGGTTGGTCTGCACATCCATCAGGTGCTTCAATTGCAGGTTTCTTCTTACTTAGTTCCGTAGTCAGTTCAGCTTCACCGTTCAGTTCGTGCAGAATAGTCTCAATCAAGGAGGTGGCCACGAGCTAAAGTCGTGATGCGCTCACTGCCAGATTCTCAGACATCGAAGACAGGAGTGGGGCAGATCATTCCTGTTGAGTTCGGAGATTGAGATGGGCACCCGCATTTGTCGCCTGTGTGGCATGACTCATTGAATGAATAAAAATGTACTTCTTAACACCTTTGAGTTTTCCGCTGGGCCCATTTGAAAGGGAGTCACGCACTCTCTCGTGTGATGAGGTTTTCCATTTTCCTATGAGAGGAGATTCGAGCTGAAAGACGAATGTTGCCCCAATTGACGTTGCTTATCGAATTGGACTTGATGATGTTGAATAGAGTTTGAGATCCTGCAGACCTACTGCGAGAAACTTTCTGATTCACTCAATGTACCTTTCATTATTGTTGACAAAACCTGGAATCTAACACTGATCTTAGCCAGATCGACTTGCCATTCTTCCAACGAAAACTTACTTGCTGGTACGTATTGCTTTCCAAATGCGACCACTCTCTCTTAATTGGCCATCCTTCAACTCGATAGAGTAATTTGAACTGCAGATCATAAAACTGAACTTCGCGTGACACTGATCTTTGTGATGAAGGACGGCCCTGTTACAAACAGCCGTACATACAGGCAGATCAGGATTGGTAGATATTTCTGAGCTACATTGAACTGCCCCAGTTGTTCTTTTCAGTTCAACTCTTGAGTCCTCTGTATGTAAAGTTGTAGAAAGTGTAGCCGGTAGCCATCCTATTAGATCCTCAGGACGATTCGCTGCATGAGATCGTGTCTGAGAGTCTGACTTTCTCGAGAAAGAGAGATGAGAGAGAGAGAGCATGATTCTCAGATTCAAGAATAGACAAGGACGTGCCTTTTAGTCAACTGGAATCCGTTGAATGAGTTAACTGTAAGTCAACTCATTCAACCGATTCCTCGCATGCAAATATCAGTTAAGGTAAAATTTTAACCCCGTTTGTAGCGAGGAAAAACAACACTTTAAAATCCCCCGTTTAAAATATAGTTGCACCTTAAACTGGGTTCAGTGATATCGCCTTGACACGTTCTAAAGTAGAATCACTGTGTATACAATGAACATGGCATTAGACCAAATCAAATAAACACGGCTGTAAAAAATTTAGAAGCCTGGAATGAAGGTAGAAAAGTTATGGAATAGATAATTTCTTTCATGTCTATGTTTTGTAGTTACTTGAACATAAACAAGTAAACGGTTGAATCGGTAAAGAAGATGTAGGAGACAAGCTAAGTTCATCATCGAATATTTATGAATGTAGTGCACGGGATTAAAGTTGTGAAATATCATTTCTTGATATTCATCAAAGTCATTTACGTCACTATTTGCAAAACCAACATCATCCAATGACTAAATTTGACATAAATGGTTGATATTAGTTAATTTCATGTTTTGTTCAGTGATGAAACATTGATGAACATTGAGAATCCATGTCAAATTCTACTCTACCTCCTCAAGTCAGGATGTCATATTCATCACTTGACTAGAGGCTACTGTTACTTTACGATCATCCTTACACTTTAAGCTTCTTCTACTCTTCAATTGACTACTATGGCATTTCTTGCGAGACTAAGTCTAGGTGAAGATGAAAACATCAATGAAACATGTGAGCATGTTTGTGACAATGCTCATATGGTTTTGATGTAACAATATTCAAACTTAAATATTCAAAATGCGATGCACCACATTTGTCGCACACATGTCTTGAAAAAGATCATTTATTGTATTGATATGGCAATTTCACCACTTTGTTCGATGAGGAAGATTATCTTTCATGACACAAATGTGAAGTTATTATGTTAATATTTCACAATTGAGGTAAGGGTAAATGGTTTAGAGAATCTTGTTGATAACATGAATTACCACTCTCTTCTCCTACCTGTCTGACTCAATACGTTTGAAGAAGATAAAACACAACAAAATATAATGTGATATATAATACAGTGCAATCTTCTCCATTCCCTAGTTATAGAGTTAGTTCTTCCTAGCAAAATCCTTGCTCGAGTTGTGGTAGCTCTAATTCCAAAAGTCAGTGAAATTTAAGCAAAAAACCGTTCAGTCCTTTCAGTTACAAGAAAAGCACATATGTGCCAGAAAGTGGTAGAAAGAACATGAATCACAGACCGAATGCATATCGAACAAAAGTATTTCACAATATTCATCTGCGTTCAGCAGATCTTTCATGCTAGATTTAACAATGGAAAGGGGTTTGTAGCTGGATGACTCGAGGGTATCAATTCTGCACATCAAAGTAGAATGCTACACGTTGAAGAAGACATATGCATCGGTCCGTCATTTACTTAGCCGCAATATCCGACACTGAATCCCGTCTTCTGTCTGATCTCAAAAGAAGTGAGAATACCCTGTCTTCGGGGGATCCGCTGCAAAAAATCTTATATGTCGGGGAACATCCTCTTATAACATTGCATGTCCTCATTTCTTGTCAGGCACAGGTCCAGAAATAAGAGCTCTTTGGTGGAGCCAGTCCCCATGAGGGAACTGTTGAAGAAGTCTATATTGATGAGAACGTGATCCGAAGGCCTCGCGAGCAGACTGTGCAGCTTCCATTTAGAACTTATTCTGATTTGAAGATTTAATCTGCCGATTTGTGCATCAGATGTCCATTCTGGTGAGGCCCCGTCCTACCTCTTACTTTCGGGCATCTCCTGTCCGAATTCAAAAATCTGAATCAAGGTTGATACCTTGATTCAGATTTTCAGGAAATCGAAGGATCAAGGTACTGAACATGTACCTAGGAGCGACTGGTGGTGGTTCATTCACTTGAGGATTTTAGAATTAAACACTAAATACACACGTCTTTGCGTTTTAGAATCGGTAACTATCCTTTGTGATCCATCATGGGAGACAGACCTGCTCTTCTGCAACAGAGGAGTGATTTTCACAAGTTTTCAATTTCAGCTGTCCTCGATAGTTTCCATGCGCAGTTTTTCTTGAGTATGAAACAGGACGAAGAGGAGGAAAGGTTGCGAGATTTCAGAGGCATTCATGGAAATTAAGATTTGATGGAGCTTCCTAGAGGTAAGGGAAGCTCATTTAGCTAGAAGGAAAGATGAAAACCAGAACACAATGAGAACTCTCTGCACACATCTCCAGGTCACGTATCAACAAGTACGCTGCAGAGACGGAGCTATCCGAAAGTGGTGCCAATGCGCCAGGCAATGAAAGTCAACTGCAGATGTACCTGGAATCAAGCAGACGTACAAGTCCCTTGGCAAGAATTATTTCGGTTTATTCGTCACTGGCGAAAATAAATTCAACGCATGACGCACCGACCTCAACATCCGAAGGGCACTCCAAATCGTTCCACCACTTCTCCAGATGAACCTCTCTCGCAACGACAACTTCCATCGTACACTTGAAGCGTTATAAAGACAAGGAGTCCCTGCTTCTTTTGTTAATGAGTTTTCTAAATGCATATCTGATCTTGTCCGGGCTTCTGGCATCTGGTCAAACGGCCCTTCGCCCGAATTTTTATCAGCCCACGTTCGTCTCCCAATGGTAACATGGCAGAGTCATGTCAAAAGCCTCGTCGTGTGGAAAGGAGTAGAGAAGTACAACCTGCACTGAGTGGGGACTGCCATGTATGCTTCACACAGGCCCAGTCACTGTTGGGCCAGGGCCGGACATAAGAGGCATAATCCTTTGATGGAAGCTCTGAGTTGAAGACACATCTCCAACTTCTGGCCCAACAGTGCCGATCAATGTAATGTAACCAAGCTCTGGCGCGCTGCTATGATAGTGCAGAGATTAGACAAATAGAGAATGAAGAGATTCCTTGCCTCGATCATGGTCGGGTGCAACTGTTCAGTGACATCATCTCACCTTATGTAACCCCATTTTTCTCAAGAATTTTTGCCTCAAATTGCGAAGCCCGACATGGATCACTATTTGATCGGAATTTCAGGAAACTTGACTCGATGTTCCAGATCTCTTTAAAGGCAACATTAACAACCTCCATATCTCAATATATAACTCTTCTACTTGCTCAAACTGGTGCCTCATCTTCTACCTCCAAGTTGACTCTAGCAACTGCAACTGTTGTCTTGACCGAACTCTCTGCTGACCTTGACTCTGCTCTCCAAAATACATCCGAGCCGAATTTGGATTGTAGTCAACTCTGATCTCCAGTCGTGCAAGTAAGTACAAGTATGCTGTCAGTTCGATTTCAGCAGCCAGATCTGACATTGGAATCCAAGCATACTTGTCCATGTACATTACTCATACCCCTTGGAAGTAGATTTTAGAAATGGATGAGAGAAAGCCAATGAAGATGCTTCTCTCTCAATGTTGTGGAGAACTCAATGAAGACTGTGGATGACTGAGCATTTAGTTGATTTGCATCGAGTTGTGAGACGGTCTGAATAATACAGACCGGTTCAGTCCTCAAGGGGCCTAGATATTAGGAGAGGACATCATCATTCTGCACATTTTCACGATGCTGATTGAGTTTGATGTTGTAAGCTGATAAGATATCTGCTGTCATCAGGACACATGGAGGAACATGGCTGAGCAGCTGCAAGCTTGAATGTACTTACAAGGCATTTCAAGCCAGCGAGAGTCACAATGCCAATGCCAAGCACAAGTTTGAGGTGGACCTGCCTTACTCTGCTGTGCATATCCGTACTTCACTGTGCTCGGGCCGCAAATTGCACTGCCAGCGATTCAGCCGCATTGCTCGACTTCAAGAATGGTTTCTCGTGTCAAGATATCAACAATCCTGGCCTTGTTTGCCAATTCGACACTTGGGTTCCTGGCACAGACTGCTGCAATAGTTGGAGCGGTGTGACTTGTGATGCTACCGGCCAGGTGACAGACATTTCGGTCTTTGGTTTCTGGAATGGCGACCTCACCTTCCAAATTCACCAATCTGCTCCTGCAAGCACCTTCATGACGCAGCTGCCCCGACTCAAGGCTCTGGAAAGCATCGACATCCAATTCGCCAGATTCGGCGACGCAGAGCTGCCCAAAGTGTGGGGTCAAATCGCCAAACTCAAACACATCAACATCGTGGGAGTTGCCGGTTTCACAGGCGAGATTCCCAAGGAGTTTGGCAACCTGAGCAATCTGGAGGTTTTTCACTGGGACACTATGGTGCCAACGACTTTGGGCCCAGGTTTGAGTGACTCCAAAGGCATACCCAAGGAGCTCTGCAAACTGCACAAGCTGCGCGAATTTTATGTCTTCCTCCTCCCAAACTGGTCTGGAACTTTACCCGACTGCATCGACGGATGGACCAGCATCCAGAGCATTACTATCAACAATGGTGATCCTGATAGCTACGGGGAAGTTTTAAACACAGGCGGATTGACTGGACCCCTCCCCTCAAATCTCGGTAAGCTGAAGACCTTGACATATCTCAGTCTCGTCGGGAACAAGTTCACCGGGAGCATTCCCAAGTCATTTGGAAGCCTATCGAATCTGAGAACCCTTCGACTCAACAACAACCGACTGAGTGGTGCTATCCCTTGGAAGGAGCTGTCGCAGCTGAAGTTCCTCGTGACACTCGATCTCAAAATCAACAATTTCCACGGAACACTTCCACCGTTGACTCCAAATTGCTTCCAGAACCTCGAGTACCTCGATGCTAGCAACACCAGCATCTGGGGTGAACTCCCTCGCCGCATTCTCGATCTGCCCATGATCGGCACCCTCAAGTTCCGCCACGTCCGTCTCTGGGGATGGATTCCGTCGGCCACTTTCATGAACGCCTCGCGTGCAGATTTCAATTTCGATTTCTCCTACAACTTCCTGTCCGGGCCTCCACCCAAGCTTCCAGGGCCCACAGGCGTTTTCAAAGCTCCACACAACAAGCTGTCTACCAGCATTCCTGCTGCTTACGGCAGCCTTTACACTCTGGACCTCTCTTTCAATCGTCTAACAGGGAGAGTTCCAGCAGCTGTTTTAGCTGTGAACTCCCTCAGCTTGGACGGCAACAACTTCACCAACTTTCCGTAGCGCACAACTCAAACGCTTCTGACTGGAATATTGCTCAGTAGATCTGATCCTAACGTTGTCTGTATTGATAGCACAACTCCTAACTCGATTGAATGATAGAAAGAATATATATCCAGTCTACATGTGAGACTTGAATTGAGTCTCAAAGTCAAGAGGTGGCTAGTTGTGAAACATAGTCGAAGTACAACATAGTTGTGAAAGCATAAAATTCTCAAGATAAAGAGACTTGATGTGAACAATCATCTTCCCTTGGCTAGATCGAACAGGGAATGTGACGATAGGTGTTACCACAGTTACCATATCAATTACGAAAGAATTCAGATGTTACGAAAATTAAATTTATGAATGGGTTTGTTTATTAGAATGCAAACTAGATGTACACAACAGCATGGAATATGATTCTCACCTTTCAGTAGTAGAATATACTGATTTAATACCTTTTTACTGATGGCATTTCATACTTAATCTGATGTATGCTTTTCATACAGTAGTGTTCTACGTTATTTTTTTACCAGTACATTTTCTTTAGGCTATAATTTATCCAAACTCCTTCGAGGTTGTCATTAAGCTAGGTTTAAGTCTTTTGACACAGACTGGGCGAATGTAGATATGTTTAAAACAGCATGTCAATCTTCTTTCAAACTGTTAACAGTAGGTCAAATTGAACTCAATGATGTCTGCCGAAATATCCACTCTGTTTCCAACGACACGCTTCACAACCGTCTCAAAAAAATTGCCAATTTTCTTCCGCGGAGGAATGTCACCCTTATGCGCCTTCTCTGCAAGAAGGCTCGTGACTGTCAGTAGAGGCTTAGGATTGATTTCACAGTTTCATGAACAACAAGCATTTGGAGGGAACGCCCATTGTTTCGAACGAATACTGACAAATTCAGACTGCGATTGCTGACTGAACCGACCATTCGCATACAAAAAGGAGATGAGAGGACACATACACAGAACCACATTTCCGTATGCTCCACAGTACACTCAACAGAGTATGGTTGCGTTTGAGAGTATGCAGTTGAAAAATTATTATTATTCTAGATCTGTACAACCCGTCTCAGAGCCTCAGCCAGTTCGACCGGCATATGAGAGGATGGATAATTCGCATTCGGCAATGAACCCTGGACTCAGGGAGAATGTCTGAGGTACCCTTCGAATGCCTTGAAGAGAGTCGTCATGCCTCCCTTAGTTCTCTCCAGGATTTCCTGGTTACTGTATTCGTATTCGACGGTCAGTACTACCTTACTCTTGACATCATCAACTGCGACGACTTGCATTTTTTGAACCCACTTGCTGAACCCTTGAAGCAGGTGACCTCCCTCAATCTCCTCAGCCGTGACGCTGAAATTTTCCATGTCGAAGTCCACGATTTTCTCCTTCACAAAAGCTCCTGGAGCAACTGTATATATGCAGAAATTGAGTTCAGAGTCAGAGGATATGTTACAGACCAGACTGCCAGTGATGACCCTCCTAAGGCAGAGATGCACCATTCACTACTACGGAAGCAAACTTCAAACATGATTGTATTGCGTTTCAGTACCATCGAGTGGTGAGTGCCTACTCCCGATGAAATCAGCCGCGGACCTGATCGAAAAGCGGATGACGGCCAAAGAGAAGGATCTAAAACGCCAGGGTGAAGAAGATGGGAAGGTGAACTTACTTGAACCGAATGAGACTTTGCGGATGGAACCGGGGACGCCATCAGGACCCTCGATGTCCTCAATGCTGGTAAACACGTGAGGTGCGATCTTCGGGAAGATGGTATTCTGATCCTTCAATGATGCCCAGACGGTGGGGGCGGGCACCTCCATCTCGACCTCATGTACAAGAGTTGGCATATTCGCAGGTTTCTAGAGACGTAGGAGATGTGCTACTGTCGAGACTCTGATGCTACGGAAGCAAATCACACTGGCAGGCGATTGTTGAAGAAGAAGAGACTGGATTGCTATTTCAATTGGCCTCCAAGGCAATTTATATGGCTGCTGCCTCTGTTGTGGAGATGATCAGTCCAGGCTACATGCATCCTAAAGCTGTGACAATTACTCCCGAGAAGAAAGTTGCATAGGTGAACTCAGCAGCCTATAGGACCACACATGGGGATGCTGAGAGAGTTACGACAGGGTGAACAGAGGTAAGCAAAGACCATGCCAATCCAAGCTTTGTGTTTAATATTAACCGTGTGAAGCAATTCTGGGAAATATGTGTGATTAATGCAAAAATGATTTGTTTTTGTGTGTATTCGCCTAGTCCTAGACTGAAGAGATGATTAACACTTGATGAGGTTTCCAGAAGTGTGATATGGAAATGCGTGAATCCTTTGCGTCTGAGAGAACTCAGACTTGCACATGCAAAATAACATGCAAACAGAGTCCTCTTGATTATTAAAGTGAAGTTTGGATTCTAGTAATTATGATTCTGGACGTCTGAAGTGTGTGACCTGCTGGACTATCTGACCATCGGGAACAATTATTGATAACATCGACGTTTCCTCCTTAGACTGAACAATGAGTTGCTCAGACCATAAATGGACCTAAGACCATTTGGAAGGAAGTGATTTCGCCTAGGCGACAAGTGTATCGTCCTAGTTCACAAATACGTGATTAAGAAATCGGCACTAAAAACAGAATTATCTGAGACTTAATGTACTCACTGTTAAGAAGTTAACTCACCAGCTCCAATCTTTCCCGATCCAAAAAGAGAGGCCCGTGCCTACCACAAAGGCAAGTCTACAGGAAATCGTGCCTCTCCGTGATACTAGCTCAGTGCTGACACATTGCCTGCCTGAGGTTGGTGAAATATACTACAGAGGATCAGCCTCACCGATCACGTGACAGCTAATGGGAGGCACTTCGACAAACTGCCTAGTGTACGATAACGGATCGTAGCGATTCCAATGGTAAATGGAGTGAAAGCAGACATGTGAAGCTCATCTTATAACATGGCCCTGCACCGAAAGAAACAACACCCTGAACTGAGCACTGCAAATTCCAGATGATATTCGGAATATCTCGTGGCTGGACCCGCAATCCAAAGCCAGGAGTTATTGTGAATATGCGCTCACGAGCCATGTGGTTTCACCTCAAGACTACACGGAAGTTGAAGAATCACAGCTCTTCTCCTAGATTTCTCTCATGAATTAAAGTGCGAGAAGTTGTTGCCCCAGTTTAAGTACATGCTCAAGGTCTTTCCTGTCTTGAGCTTAATCGAAGAAACTGCCGAATCTTATTTTAGAGCGTTCCACTGCACACCTGCACTGTCAACATTCACTCACGGAATCCGAAGGATTTGTGTATTGTGTTTGTCAATCAATTTCCCACTAGAAGAGGTTTCATGGTCATTTTGGTGGCATATTGCTCCATCTGGCATGATTACACTTCCAACAACGGCATGCGTTGTATTGATTTGTAGAGTACGGCTGCGAGTGACATCTTCATAATATCCTCGTATGCCGTCACCCAGCACCGAGCAAGCACCAGTGTAGAGAGCAAACGGCCGATGCTAGTAGCATCATCCAAATGTGCATGAGACAATCTGAGCAACAAACGTTCTCAAATGTTTTTCTTCTTTATCAAATTCCTCGAGCGATTTGCTGCTTTACTGAACACAAGAAGTCTGACTACTCTGTATTGATGATTCGTTGCTTTGTCTATTTCAGGCCACTTTGTTCTAACACCGAGTATGAGAAAACATTCACACAAACTGATTTTCTTATAGTCGGGAGCTCTCTCTCAACAGTAAACCTCAGGCCAACATATAGGTTTCTACAAGTTTTCAACTTTCGTTGATTCCTACGATGACCTTCCGCTCCTGGATTTCCCGTGCGTCTTTCACTTTCATGATAGTCTGCACCTTTTAGTGGACATGGAACTACCAACCTCGATGGGGAGCAAATCTGGTTGGTGGGTTAATGGACAAGGATCTAAAGCAAAAGAGTTAGCTGGAAGGTTGACCTCGGGACAACTGCCACATTGAGTACTGTTGCTAATTCTCATACACATCGTTCAAGGTGTAGTCCTTGGCTCTGTCTTCAGCGATCTTGTAAAGTACCGGAGATTCCTTGCATTCGTCTGCCCAACTCCCCCGCCAGGTCAGTTGGTAAGCGCTATTCTCCTCTCTCACGAAGAATGAAAGTGCGTAAATCTTCCTCGAAAACGCCACAGCAAAGGATAAAAGAAGAACAATCATCAACATGTGGTGCAAAAACGCAGCAGAAAAACTGATGATGGCTAACACAGAGGTAAATATAGAAGAAAACAGGGTGGACATTGTTCAAAATAAGTGGTTTATCTGTACCTCTCGTACATGACTACTTTAACAACAACCATATTTTTTTTATACGAGTACACTTTTCAGCATGAAAATTGGATGCGGTGTTGGAATAATCAAAATGAATACAAATCCTGGCATGTGTATTATCTTAACGCTGGGTCGGTTCGTTGATTATCAATCTCCTCGTTCGTAAGAATACAAATATTCTTGTTTCGGCTCTTTTCCCAAGGGAAACAATGCACCGAGGCCAAAACTTCTTCAGCAGAACAAGTATACAAACAAACGAATTTGTTCTAGCAAGTAAAACATCTGCGTCTATTATAGAATTTATTCAAATATTTATGACTCGACTCGTGTCCACATCAATGCTTTCACAGGCCGTATTGAGCAGTCTCATGGCACGTTTTAACGCTTCCATCAGCATCGACCTTGTTGCAACAGTATAAACAGCCAATCATGTTCCATCCTTGCAGCCTTATTGCATGGAAATCACTCCATGCAAAAGCCATGAAATATCACAAGATGGGTTATGAGAGAGACAGAATGGCAATGTCGTTGCAACCCCGTGACATGTTCTAGTTTGATGATGTGCTGTCGTTATTCACGACGGAAATGCACAAATGAATGCACCAAAGGGATTGATTGACATCACTCGTTCTGCCCGCCAAAGGATCATCAAAAGTAGGGCCAAAATTTAAGAGCCGAGTGGAAAGGCCAAAGCGAGTTGAAGATAGTGCTTTTACTCATTTTGATTGTTTATCGTTTTTACTTGCATTGACTTGGTCACACCTCCATACTCCAGCAAGTGAAACTCAAAATTATAGGAATACAAAAAGCATATTTTTTTCTGGAAAGTGCGTCTCTCATTCTAGCATTAAAAGAATTCAGTAGTAAGCGCTTGGAGTGATAATAAAACAAGAGACTACCTCAAGAGAGATAATTGATAACTCAGGAAGTAGCTTTGGACTGAACGGTGGTGATAAATGTACGAGTTTTACACTGACCGATTGAGCCTGAAAAGGTGCATCAATTTATAGTGATAGGTGAGAGAATTCATAATTTCAAGCTGGGTTCACATGAAGTCTTCGTGCTTGTTTGACACTGTCTGTCAAGCTGGTACTCCGTTTTCGTAAGTTCTGGATGAAAAATACGACCCAACAGCCATCCTCCCATCCAAAGTCTATGTAAGAGCAGCCGAATTGTAATAGAATGTATAGCTACATACTAGAAAGTTGACAAAAAGTTCATAGACCTGTTTTTTTTTTTACACAACTTCATCATTCCTGCCATACTTTCCATAATGCACTAAAAAAACCTTCAAGCTGATTAGAAGAAAAATCATACGATAGTAACTACAGAGACTAATAATGTACCCAAACCTATGTACTGAACGCTTATAAATAATCATAACTAAGTGTCATCTAACATATGCCCGACTGATTGATAGTAAAGGCATCGACCGCAAAATCAGCACACTTACAAACACTCATGGTTGTGATATGATAAATTCAATTGCAAAGTCACTATATTGAAATCACAAATTAAATTTGTACTTTGATTATATTCCAACAATAAATACACTTGTTAGATTCCATTATTTCTCTAAGATCTCACATCAACACTCTTTAAAATTAATTCACTTCCTACATTTGTAAAGCCCAAAATAGTTTGACGCAATCCTTTTAACTCCTTTTCGTACCAATTCATTTACTTTATTTATTTTTATAGTTGAGATATGTTCAACCTTCAACTTCATATTTCGCAATAAAGTACCTACTTCCATAATGATAGATAGAAAAAACTGTTAGTTTTATCGGACAGGCCTCACCTACAATATATAATGCATCCGAAATTCAAATCCGTCAACGTAGCGTATTTCCATTTAGTATGATCCTCCAGTTATTGTTGTTTTCACGATCAGTATTTCTGCGACATTAATCATCCTATCGATCACACCAGTGATTGCCTATCAATGGTGTGATCCGGAAATGTCTCAATAGTTTATCGTAGACTAGTTGTTATTATCACATTAGAGTGATCAATTTGGATGTACAGAGTATTGAATTTCATGGAACTTCCAATACTACGTCAACTTCAGCTGTACGGTGGAATACTTTAAGATAATATGACACACAACTGCAAGGATCAACAACGTACACTATCCATTCATACAGTCATTTGAAAAGAAGGCGCAGGAGCACACAAATGGCATCTACTTAAAGCTTAAACTTCACAAGTGATCACATTTTCATAAGTTATGTCTCTAAACAATTAACTATAGATCTAGTAAAGCTTTGTGGGCGAGGTGACTTTCAATTTGAGCATATAAAATTAATAATACGTGTCAACATTGTCAATTGTAAGCATCATTGGCAAATTTGTCAAGAGTTTGGATGTCTTCTAAATATTTAGCATATGAACTTTAAGATTTAAAGTCTCAAAGTCCATTATTTTCTAGTTTTTATGTGGGGCCTACTTTTTAGTTTTTTTAAAAAAATTAACAAAAACATAAACATATGTGTGTAGAAGATAGTTATATGAGTTGGAAAGAGTAGATTTATAGGAGTTATGATAGGATTAGTTAGAATTTGTCTACGTCCGAAGATCTTTAGATTTTTGCGTCTTCGGTGCAGTCTTTTTAGGACGCACGAAGAGCTGCGTCTTCGGCAAAGACATCGGAATCAATTTCAAAT